CAGGAAGCCCGGGGCAAAGCAGCTCTGCCTCGGGCTTCCTGTAGTCAGCCGCTGGTCAGTTTCAGCAGCGGCTGAATCGGGGACACCTGGGGTACAATATGTACCAGTTCTGACTTACATACAAATTCAACTTAAGAACAAACCTACAGTCCCTATCTTGTACGTAACCTGGGGACTGCCTGTATACTAGCTCTTTAATCTTGTCTGGAATATGTTACGGTAAGAATTCTGTTTAAAATTAAATTTTAATTCTTGTTAAGCACTTTTAATAGTAGTTCACATTTAGCAATATATTTATATACAGTTCCATACAGAATGCATATTGGTAGATAGACAATATCGTTTAGAAGAATGAGCACACATTATCCCAGGACTGTGGTTTTCAAACTGCGGTCCACAGACCACTAGAGGGCCACAACAATGAGGGTTGGGGTTTTTTGGAGGAGCTTTTTTTGCTTCTCACTTGTGTGGTCCCCAGATAATTTTTCTGTGGGTCAGCGGCCCCCGATCTGCACCCCTGCCATAAATAAAACATTGCAACCTTTTGTGTTGGACACAAATTAATATTGTATTTGATTTTAAAATGAAGCTTGATTAAACTAAGATGAGAAAGTTAAAGCGCTTAATCTGTTTAATAATTTAATATTTCCTTTCTTACTGGTTAAATTAAACTGTTCTCCCTAGCTGCAGCACTCGCAAAATGGCTCAGGCATAATTATGTAATTAACAGCAAGTTTCCATTAGCAACTGGTGGTCCACGGAAAGGTTTGCATTGAGCCAGGTGGGCCATGGGCCAAAAAAGTTTGAGAACTGCTGCCCTAGGATGAAATGTTGGCTTCCATATAAGTCAGTGGGAGTTTTGCCATTAATTTCAGTGGGGCCAGGGCTTTACTATTGGTTTCTCTACTCATTGTATGGCCTTTGTAAATCATTTAAACACTGCTGTCATTTCTAAATCTGTAAAATGGTGATAATATCCTCACAGGGTTATTGAACTAATGTCTGCAAAGGATTATGTAAATTATAAATACTATGTTGAATTAACTCTTCTGGTATCAGTTAATTCTTCTCTATACAAATCAACCTTTATGTGAATATGAAAGAACTTAGTGTTACCTTGTTAAATCATGTAACTAAAGAAAGAACATATACAGATGCTGCTCTGTGTGTGTAAGGGGAGTGGGGAACTAGTATACCAAACCATTTTATTTCTGTAATCAAAACCAATTAAAACCTCTTACTGGAAAGTCTGTCTCTTGACACACACGTGTGTATACGCATCTATGGGAATGTCTTGAGTTTCTTTGGTCTTTTAATCTAAGAATATGGAATGATCTAATAAAACTGGCAGTTGAGTCAATATTGCAGGAGGGCATACTCTTAAATTCTATTGTTAACTGTTAGAGAAGCTCTGTATTTTACTGAATTTTTAAGGTTAACTTTAATGTTTTATTAATTAAATGGAGTAGATTGGTACCTTTAGGATCACAAACAACTCTCTTTTAAAAACAGGTTTTAAAATTAAGAATACATTTAAAAAGCTGCAAAACCGAAAACATTCTTTTCCAAGGAGTTGTTTAAAATGTGTGAACTCTAAAATTTGATTCTATACATTTCAGGATAACACTGCTGCAGAGATTCCCATTGTGCAATAAAGAGAAGTCAGTGAGAACAGTGCAGGTGCTAAATGAGGAAGGGAAGCAATATGGACTGATTATGAATATCGATAAAATGAAGACAATGGTATTTGGAAATAAGGAAATAGGAAGGAAGATCAGTGTAGATGCAATCAAACTAGAGAACGTAGAGAAGTTCACGTATTTAGGGAGTGACATGACATATGATCTAGACTGTAAGAAGGAAATAGCAACTAGAATAGCGAAAGCAAGAGTGAATTTGAAGGTGATGGATAAGATCTGGAAAAGTAAAGCGATTAGCTTAGGAACGAAGCTGAGCATCTTGAAAACGTGTATTTAGCAGCATGTTGTACAGATGTGAGACATGGGTGATAACGAAAGATTCGAAGAGAAGGATATTGGTATTTGAGCGGAGTTATAGAAAGATCCTGAGACTAGGATGGATGCAGAAGGTCACCAATGAGGAATTATATAGGAAGATACAGCTGAAAGAGAATCTACTGCAGAAAGTTATACAATGGAAGTTACAGCTATTTGGGCATATCTGCAGAATGAACAACAAGCGAAAAGTTAAGACCTCGGTATTCGGCATAATAGATGGTCTGAACAGGAGAGGCAGACCCCACAGAGAATGGGTAGATGATACAGTAGATTGGTGCGGAGCTAGTTTACCGAAACTAAGCCACTCCGCAGTGGACAGGGAAAGATGGAAGGATGTGGGCGTGGAGCCCATGGTGGTTGATGCTGATGAATCTCACATGGTTTGTAGATCTTGGAATTGTGTTCACAAACTCTAGAGCCTTCTACATTAGGGCCTCGGTAGCATGTTTATTTCATCATCTT